ATGTGAGAAGGAGGATTTTAAATTCTATTCTGGATTTAACAGGAAGCCAATGAAGAGAAGCCAGGATAGGAGAGATATGATCTCTCTTTTTCATTTTCATCAGAACTCTGGCTGCAGGACCATGAAAGGCAGGGCTGGATTAGCAGGAACCGTTTTTACATCATCCACTCCGACATCTGGCAGAGCCATGAATGGAGACGCTGCAGCCAGCTGATGGGTTTTCCATGTGTGGCGGTTAGCCAGCATACTGGAAACCAGTGCAGGAACCAGTGAGAGAGCAGCCATGCTGGTTACGTCATGCTGACTGAGCTTGAAAGAGGACACCACATTCCTTCTGTCTTTGTCTGGGTTCCTGATGCCTTCGGTTGGCTGGAAGCTGGAGAGGGTGGGATCATCAACTGCCAGAAAGCAGAGTAACTGGAACCTGCACTGGAACCAGTTTATTACTGGAAGCAGTCAGGCTCATTTCAGCTGGTGCTTATCCTTCTGAAAAACTCATCAAATGGCTCCCAGCTCTGAATGGCTTTCACTGCTGTTACTGTTCTACAGGCCCTATAGAAGGAGAGGGGGGGCTGATGGGCCATTGTTATGTGTGACCAGGGCCCCTTGTTGCCATGGCGATGACTGCAGGTTACAGAGTTATATCAGATGAACCTTTGTCCCTCCAACATCAGGGCTGGTTTGAATCCATGAGAGCAGAGAACAAAAGTCTCCTTCTAATCGTCAGGATTTGCTGAGGGAGCAGAAAAAGGAGCGCTTGTTTAAATTCAGCTAAGAACTGGGAACCTGTTCCAGACTCCAGAGGGAACATGCAGAGCTCCCAGGGACCCGTATGGTTCCGCTTGGTTCAGGAGCTAACGGTCGGATCACAGGAGGAATCCAGTCATGAACCTACAGAGGCTCCTCTGATGGCTGACGCCTCATCAGGCTGCAGGGTTTTAGGACCTGAAAACGTCATCAGGTCCTAAAACCTCCTGGAAAGCTTTAAGTCGAGCTTTGAAAATGATTCCCAGTTCATTTCAGAGAAGGAAAATTCAATTCTATTCAGTTTATTTCTATAGCTCCAGTTCCCATCATGTCATCTCAGGTCACTTTCCAGTTCAACCAGATCATCCAGTCNAGATTAAAAGCCTTCAGACTAAAGGACCTTCAGATTAAAAGCCTTCAGACTAAAGGCCTCCAGATTAAATGCCTTCAGATTAAAGGCCTTCAGACTAAAGGCCCTTCAGATTAAAAGCCTTCAGACTAAAGGCCTCCAGATTAAACGCCTTCAGATTAAAACCCTCAGATTAAAGGCCTTCAGATTAAAAGCCTTCAGACTAAAGGCCCTTCAGATTAAAAGCCTTCAGACTAAAGGCCTCCAGATTAAATGCCTTCAGATTAAAAGTCGTCAGATTGTAGGCCACTCCTGTACCCTAAAGATTGGCCAGTTGAGATGAAGAGAGGGTGTAAGTGAGGTGAGGGTGAAGCAGGAGTCAGGCCCCGCCCACCCACTGCGTCTGCTGGCCATCCTCCTGGTCGGTCTGCCACCATCACACAGGTCTCAGTGATGGAACAGGCTGCATTACCAACAGCTTATTCTGTCTGAGTCTCTGCAGCTGGGTGCTGAAGGGTTGTCCTCTACAGGGAGGATGTGTGATCCGGTTCTCCTACAGGAAGCGGTTCTGGTTCAGTCTACAGAACCGTCCCTGAATCTCTCCTGTTTTATCCAGGCTGATCAATAAGCTCCAGCCCGGCTCAGTGAAGAAAATCAACCACTCCCAGCTGAACTGGCACAAGGTAAGCCCACCTGGGAGTCTTCTCCTCCCTGCCAAAGCCTCCAGAAGCACTGACCCATGTCTGTCTGCAGCTGGAGAACCTGGGGAATTTTATCAAAGCCATTCTGGCCTACGGCCTGAAGCCCAGCGACATCTTCGAGGCCAACGACCTGTTTGAAAACGGGAACATGACTCAAGTGCAGACCACGCTGCTAGCACTGGCCAGCATGGTGAGTCCAGGCCGCACTGAGCAGAACCGCTGCCTAGAAGCGTTGAACTGACGTTGGTCCTGCTTCTCTTCTGTTGGGTCCGTCAGGCCAAGACCAAAGGCTTGGACACAAAGGTTGATATTGGGGTGAAATATGCAGACAAACAAAGACGGCAGTTTGATGAAGAGAAGATCAAGGCTGGACAGTGTGTCATCGGACTGCAGGTAAGGGCTCCTGGTCCTCATGAGTCCTGATGGTAGAGACCTTCAGTCTAGCAACATTCTCTGCCGGGTTGAGTTCAACAGAACCTGTTTCTGCTTTGCGTCCAGATGGGAACAAACAAGTGTGCCAGTCAGGCTGGAATGACGGCTTACGGAACCAGGAGGCATCTGTACGACCCGAAGACTCACAGCGATAAACCGTACGACCAGACCACCATCAGCCTGCAGATGGGCACCAACAAAGGAGCCAGCCAGGTTAAAGCCCGCCTCTCTGTGCACCATACTGACTGCTGTCACCGCATCAGAGACTAGTTAGACCCATACATCACACACAATTAACTCTACGGTTGAAATTCTATTCAGTCTATTTCTAGAGCTCCAAACAGCACCACCTATATCCTCCTTATTCCACGAACAGACCAGCGTGTTTTATTTCTCCTTATTCTATGAATACATATTTAAATAAGCTTCTTCCATCCATTGGAATAAGGTGGATAGATCCAGATAAAACAGATTATCCAGGCAGATTTAAGGTTCAAACCAGCTGATTGCATCCAGTCGCTGAGACTCTTCAGCAATCCCTCTCTCTGAGCATGCTGATGAATTGAAGCATTGTCTGTCTAACTGGATCCTCCTTAACTTGGCTAAAGTTACAGCCGTAAACAGCAGCTGAATGCGCTGACTCAGCACTCAGCACGGTGTAACCCAGTTAGCCCAGTGTACCTCAAAGGGTAACAGTGGAAGAACATGGTAGCAGTTAATGGTGAAGGATCTGAAATCAATCATCCCACTTTAAGGAGAGTTGCCTTCAAATACCAGGCGAATGCAGCCTGTGACATCACAACAATCTGGACCAGACATAGAGTTAAACCATTGTGGGTCTAGTCAAAGCCCATTTATTAGATAGGAGTGTTAATGATTTTATTTTTAATAAGATCAACCGTATTTATAAAGAATCCCATAAAATCATTCCTGCTAAGAGCAGGTGGAATGGACGGTTCAACAGAGCTATGGCTCTGGGTGAGTTTGGGATTAAAAATAAATTAGGATTATTCTCCTCTATTAATGAGGAGAAATATGCTGCTCTTGCTTTATTAAGGGTGCTCTTATACCTATGCAGCCTAGCCTAGCTTCGCCAGCCTCTCACTGCACATCACATGCTGTTTCCAGCTACGCTAGTCACGAGTCATTTTGACCAATCAGTGTCCCAAGCTGCTGCAGTAATGACAGGGAGGCCATGTTGTTCCATCAGAACCAGCTAATGTTGCTCGGGTTGAACCTAACGCTGCTTTGTGGTTCCTGACAGGCGGGGATGTCGGCCCCTGGTACCCGTAGGGACATCTTTGACCAGAAGGTGGCGCTGCAGCCGGTCGACAACTCTACCATCTCCCTCCAGATGGGCACCAACAAGGTGGCGTCTCAGAGAGGCATGAGCGTGTACGGTCTGGGCCGGCAGGTCTATGACCCCAAGTACTGCGCCGCACCGACGGAACCGGTGATTCACAAAAACGGCAGCCAGGGCACCGGCACCAACGGCTCAGAAATCAGCGACAGCGACTACCAGGCCGAGTTCCAGGAGGAGGATTACCACGCCGGTTACCATGACGACTACGACCCCCTCTATAACGAGCCCCACAGTGACTACTAGTGCAGGGCTTCAGGTCTAGAGCAGTATTACGTCATCAGACCTTCGCTGTCCTCACTGGACTTTCTATGAAACTAGACTCTGAGCCGCAGAGCTCCAGTTTTAGTTCTAAGCACGGCAGATAAGTGGTGAAGAGTGATTTTTGAAGGACGTCTTTGATAGAAGCTTTGCTGTCCTGTACGGCATACCTGTAGCGGACCAGTGTTGACCCTATCAGTGTACCTGTTAAAGTCTGTAGATTTTCACGATCTAGATTCATTCCTTTCTCTGAGTTACGTCTTCCTGATGGACGCGAGGCGCTCATAACCTTTTCTACGTTCTTACCTTCTTTCCTTTTTTGACCAATCCGTGTTTATTAATAAAATCCTACCTTTCATTAAAGTCTCACCGTGTTTGAATCAGCCTGTCTGCACATTTCCATTCACAGCTAACCCCACTGAGCCACTGGGAAATAGCCTTAAATAACCAAGTCAGTAGTCCCATTTCCACTACCCTTCACAAACTGTGCTGAGGTCGGTGAGGCGCGGTAACCAAGGTAACAGTTGAGTATAAATGGCACATTAAACTGAACTGGGCCGCGCCAGACACAACAACAACAACATGGTACTAGTTCATCATCAGGGCTCGGAGCGGTTCAGTTCTGGCTAGTTTCTCTGATAACAAAGAGCGCATGAGCAGACGCGTCATCTCAGACATTCCTAAAATCCTAGCTTCCCTACCGTACCACACGATTTCCAGAGATGGTTCTGGTTAGCAGTGTGATGAAGCTCAACATCTGTCCTTGTTTCCTGCATCTGGAAGCCCTGATTCACTTCCCGAAAGCCGACTCCGTCAAGTAAACTTCCGCAAACTTCCTGAATGTTACGGGCACCGCCATGTTGGTTTGCTTGATTCCCTCAGTCAATCACTGAGAGCAGTAGTACCGTAGATCGCCACTAGGAGAGGAGGAACCGAGCTAGCGTGATGTTTAAATGGTATTAAGGAAATGAGCTTGGCACGGATTGGTTTTCAGAGGGTGATGTAAACGGGGCTATGATGTTTGACACCATGTCTGTCTGCACATCTTCTAGTTCTGCAAGTTCCCATTCTGATGGTTTTCCTCAGATCTGCTACACCTTGGTCCAAACAAAGGTGCGGCCTTTACTTCCTGTTCTATAGAAGTACAACAGGAAGTAAATGGTGGCATAAGCTTGGCTAGCGCAAGGCCAGATGGAGCTCCTATAAAGAGAAGAGAAGCTAGATGCTGACATAGCTGATAAACAATAGGAGAATAGAGATAGAATGATGAAAAAGGGGTCCCTATGTCCTCCAGCAGTCTAAGCCTATAGCAGCAGAACTATAGAGATAGCTCAGGATAACCT